GGTACAGGTCTGTGATTCATCAGTCTTACACAATACACAGCACTCACAACAACAATACCCTCCCCAGTGTCCACCATCCAGCCACCCCATTCCTCCCACCCCCCTCCACTCCAGCAACCCTTAGATTGTTTCATGAGATTAAGAGTCTCGTATGGTTTGTCTCCCTCTCTGGTTTTGTCTTGTTTCCTTTTTTTCCTCTCTTCCCCTATGATCCTCTGCTTTGGTTTTCAAATTCCACGTATCAGTGAGATCATATGATAATGGTCTTTCTCTGATTGACTTATTTCACTTAGCATAATACCCTCTGGTTCCATCCACGTCTTTGCAAATGGCAAGATTTCATGGCTGCATAGATTTTATGGCTGCATAATATTCCATTATATATAAATACACCACACTTCTTTATCCATTCATCTGTCGATGGACATCTGGGCTCTTTCCATAGTTTGGCTATTGTGGACACTGTGGCTATGAACATTGGGGTGCAGGTGCCCCTTCGGATTACTAAATTAAGCAAGGGTAAAAATGACTATTGGGACTTCATCAAGATAAAAAGGTTTTGCACAGCAAAGGAAACAGTCAACAAAACCAAAAGACAACCGACAGAATGGGAGAAATATTTGCAAATGACATATCAGATAAAGGGCTAGTATCCAAAATCTATAAAGAACTTATCAAACTCAACACCCAAAGAACAAAGAATCCAATCAAGAAATGGGCAGAAGACATGAACAGACATTTTTGCAAAGAAGACATCCAATGGCCAACAAACACATGAAAAAGTGCTCAACATCAGTCGGCATCAGGGAAATACAAATCAAAACCTCAATGAGATACCACCTCACACCAGTCAGAATGGCTAAAATTAACAAGTCAGAAAACGACAGATGTTGACGGGGATGCGGAGAAAGGGGAACCCTCCTCCACCGTTGGTGGGAATGCAAGCTGGTGTAGCCACTCTGGAAAACGGTATGGAGGTTCCTCAAAAAGTTGAGGAATTGCACTACTGGGTATTTACCCCAAAGATACAAATGTAGGGATCCATTCATTATGTTTCTATTGGACAATGCTAGACTAGACTACTGTAGGCAACTCTCCTACACTTATAGCTTTTGGATTTAGTATATGCTGGAGAGGATGGGAAGCCAAAGTAGAAATTCTCCTCAACCAATCAAGAAATTTTTTTTTTTAAGTGCAAAGGTGAAACAAGAGCCTTCCTAAGCCACCTTCCCACACACCTCTTCTAAACTTCAAGTACCTAAGTAGTGTCTTCGCACAGTAAAAACTTGGTGACTGCTTTGTTCTGTCCTCGCCAACCCAGGTGATTTTCACCTTCAGTTCTCACAACTGTGCCATGTTTATGGGTAGTTAATGCCCATGTTCATGGGAGTGAAATTAGAGGCCTGGCTGAAATGGAAACACTGAACTCCCCTTCCCGCACAATCTCACTCTCAGGACTTTTCCTTAAAAAACCCGTACAACCAATGTAGCCTTAATACATAGATCATACTCCCTCCCCGCTGAAGTCCAGTGAATATTTTCTCTTCCTTCTTTCTTATTCCTCCAGCATCATGGCATTCTTCATTTCTTCCATTGATATTGAACCCTTTCTTTGAACCAGGCACCATGTTGGGCATGGAAGGGAAGGACACACAGTCTGCCCAAATGTATGCCAAGGCAGACATTTAGATAATCATTAAACACGAAGTAATAAAGGGGGAAATGGACTATGCCCACAGTAGGAGCGACGCCTACAAGAAACGGAATTACCGAGGAGCTAATCCTTGACTGTCCCTTCCTCCTTTGACTTCCCAAAGGAAGGCAGACAGGAGAGAGGGCATTCCGGGCTGGGAGACAGTATGTGCAAGTGTATGGAAGCCGACGCTATGTGGCACTGTGGGCAACGAAAGCAGGTCTTTCTTGGGCATAAGAAACAGGGCATGGGAGGGAAGTAGGGGAAGGGGGGAGCCAACATGAAGCCATTCAGTTCCCGTTTATAAGATATGAAGAGGAGAGGAAGATCAGAGAGCACTTCAAAACTATCAACAGGTTGTATACGTTTTTTCCTCCTCCCTCCAGAGTGGCTTACGCATTACCAGCAAGTTAAGAAATTCTCATTCTCCCAGGGCTCATTACAGAACTTAGGAGCTTCAAAGGTATCTGTGGCATCATCTTCGTCATTCAACAGCATTTATTGGGCGCCTTGTATGAGCCAGTCATTTACCCACTATAATAAGGATACAGAAGACTGGCTCCTAACTAATCTCAGGAGGTCACGGGCAGTCCAGGGTGTATTAATAACAGGCAAGGCAGAGGTAGTCTGGCAGGGAAGCATAATTTTTTCCTTTCTTACTACATGGGAATAAAAAACATGTGTTTAAAATGTTTTGGGGGTAGAGATATCCTGCTTCCCAAATCAGGGTGTCCTATTCTCAGCCTTATTTCTCTGTAACTGACGACTTTTAAATTTGTATTGAAAAAATAGTATTCATAGGGACTTCAGTCCTCAATCTTCCTGGTTTAAATCGTTCTCTGGAGTGTTTCTCATAACAGGTCACTACGATCACAAGTTAAGAGAATGTTCATTATAGTACATAGTGGAGAAAAGAGACTTAAGCTTCATTTTAAAGAGTAAAGTGGTAACATGGCAAAAACTGAATGCATTGGATCTCCATTGGATACAGAACACATCGATGCTCTGAGATCACTCATTTGAATATTGTTACATTTTCTGTAGTCACGATACCACTTAAAAAACAGCATTCCTCCATATGCTATGGGCAGTAATACGCTATGGATCTTACATACACCACATCCAAGAGCCTCACTGTGTCATAAAATCCAGTAGTTCATCATTTCCTGCCTCTGAATTGGCTCAAGCCCCAAATCAGAAGCAAACCCAAACCTGCCACACAGTGGATTCCCGCTGCCAACTGCCCGCTATGCCCCCTAGTTCTCCCTCCGCCAGCTCCCCTCACACAGCAGGTGAAAGGCGAGCACCGGGCACCACTGTCAGCCAGGCAGCTGGGCGACCGCGGGCAGCCAAGACTCGAAGAAGCATCTGTGGCGAAAGGACAACTTGCTGAACCTCAGTCTAAAGTTCTGCCCGTCTGGACCCATCAGGCGTTGTTTAATGTCCTAGAGCTACAGTAGCTAGCTTTGAGTTCAGATCTGGATTGTGGAATTTGAACCATCGAAACACCCATCACGACAAAAAACCTCTATGAATCTTGTTAACAAAACAGGAAGAATTTCTGCCAATGGCTGAGAAATAAATTCCTTCTTTCCTGCTGCTTGGACCACAGCATAATGAGGGTGCCCAAGTGCTCTCTGCAGTAATAAAACAGAATGCCCAGGCTTTTTCTTTTGATGTGTTCCAGTTTAAAAGTTGAGAGTCGATGCCTTTTCATCCTTAATTTATCTTCCCTTGTAAATATGTCCGTACCCCTTCCAATACCTGAAGTCTACATATTTTCAAAATAGAATTCACTCCTTCTCCTATTTCACTTGTATAACTTTATGTTATGGGTCAGATTTTCGGCTAAATAAACATACCTCAGGCTACAGCTCTGCAAATACCTCTGGCAGCAAATTAACTCAAACAAATGTTTTGGTTGGGTGGTGAGGTTGTTTTTTAATAATCTTTCTGATCTGCCTGGAGGTCCAAGGATAGGCTAGGTGAACTCCCAAAGGCTTTTCTAACTTTGTATTTTCTGCCACATTAATATGCAGCTCTTGAAGTCTGTTGCAGTGACTGGTTTAAAATTTCACCACCAGAGGGTGCTACTTGTTTGCTTCTAATAATCATTTCACTATCAGATTTGAAAGATCGAAGCCCTGTCACCAAAGACTTGTCCCCGCAGCAGCTAGCATTACCCAGGAAAGGTTTCCAGAAGACCTGTAGGGAGTGCTCTACTTCAAGGCACCAGATTTCACTTTGCTTTGGATATTATGTGTTTGGAACCAAAACTGAAAATCTCTGTAGCTTGCACAAACCAAACTGCACTAATACATATATTCGCTGTAAACCAAGCAAGGCATTTGAATCATTTTTCATTCTCTTGGCTTCTGTTCAGTATTTACTACATAACAGCCATGAACCCAGAACTCTCCCATCCTCTTCATCACACCAAACCATAAAATACCATAAAGTAAAAAGAGAATTTGCTTGGCTATACCGATAATGCTATTTTCCAAGGATGCAACCTCCTCTTACCCTAAGTATATACCTCTCCCTCTTCTGCTTGCGTGTGATTCCTTATTTCTAGGGAACATTTTATCAGCTTCAATTTCTCTTAGTGTATTTTTTGATTGACTGGGATGTGCATGTGAATTTTCCACCTGATGTTTTCCAGTATGCATGAAGAAGCATGGAGATTTTAACCAATTTTAAGTTTTAAATGGTAAGAAACTCTAATGTGTTGTCATCTGAATGGCAAAGTTAATCAGGGGTCAGCAAAGTGTTTCTATAAGGTGCCAGATTATAGTGAAGATTCTTGGCTGTGTGAGCTGTGAGTGCTCTGTCATAGCTTCTCGACCCTTCCATTACAGCAAGAAAGGAGCCACACAGACTATAGACACCAATGATTGGGTGTGGTTGTATTCCAAAACACTCGATTTTGAGGAACAGGTGGTGTGCTACTGTTTGCTGACTCCTGAAAATGATGACTCGTAATGTATGCACTGTTCTTACTGATAAAATTCAGAAAAATTTCTAGTATGTCACCCTGTGATGATTTTTCCCCTTCATACAGTTCTGACAAAGTATCACCTAAGTAATCCATTTTAAAGTTCACGGGTCCTTTGGAGGAGTACCACTGGGCTCCCTGTCCAGAGCTTTCAAAATCTGGGCCAAGGGAGCCTTAGACTTTCAGCGCGTCATTATGTTTATGTCCTGGGAAGATCTGCTATGGTAAGATATAAAATCAATAAGAAGGATAGGACCCACTGGCAATTTCTCCTAGAGATAATATGGAAAGCAAACAGAAGACATAGTTTACCTTCAGACTGATGTGTAGCTAGAGGAGTCTGGGTCTCCTTGGAGTAGGACACGACTTCCCTGGGCAGGAAATCCACTTGGGTAACCTTCGACACGCCCAGCCTGTGCAATCTCCGCCTGTAAGTAACAAAGGACAAACGCTTAAAGAGGGAAGGCATTCCTTGCAGAAGAGCTAACGGTAATAACACACAGGACCAACATAAATCCCAGGCTGTAACTTCTCAGGGCGAGGGGCTGGACCATAACTAGGACCGGCCTTGGGCTGGCAGCTGGGACATGTGGCTTTCTGGCCCACTTTGGCCCTAATTTGCTGGTGAGGTCACGTAGGTCCCTCATGCTGACCCTCAGCCTTTCTTCCTGTAAAACAAAGTCTTGGTCTGGCTCAGAGGAGATCCCTTTCATTCGCAGCACCTTTGATTTCACTTGATTTAAATTTATAAAGGGAATTTTCATTGGTAATACGAGGTCCTAGCTTCTTACATGTGATAGACAAAGAAAAAGTAATGATTGTCAAATCAGAAGAAAAGAAAGATGATTTCTTAGTGGAGTAACATGTTTGCCATGATAGTATTGAGAGGATCATGCCAAGGGGGGAGTGGAACACTTCTCAGTTCTCCAGGAAGGAAATAACACAGATCAGCAGGTGAATTTGTTTAAAGACATTGCTGTAGTATAGATGAATGAAGAGGATGCTGGGCTAAGAGCAATAAAGGTTTAGCCTGGAATTCCCCAAGTAACTATGACCACGTGAAAAATCATTTGAGTATTTATGTCACACTTCAAGTCTTTTCAGATGTCTTTGACATCTATCATGTAATCTGTCCTCACGACACCTCTGTGAGGCATAGGGGAAGACATTATCACCATCTCTGTTATAGATGAGGAAAATGAAATGCGGCTTAAGAGACATGTGCAAGTATATACAACTCATAAATGCTAGAACGAGGGCTAAAATACTGTTGGCCTGAGTCCTGGTCCAGTGCCTTTTCCACCAAGCCCACTCCTACCTAGGGTTCTTAATGGTGATTTCTGAGCTACTGCAAAAATCTAAAGTAACTCCCACGTCACCCAGGAAACATACGAATATCATGGAGATGGCAGAGTCTAGTGGCTAAGCACATAGACTCTAGCCCCCCACTTCCAGGCTGTGTGTGTGATCTTTTTTTTTTTTTTTTAAAGATTTTATTTATTTATTTGACAGAGACACAGTGAGAGAGGAACACAAGCAGGGGGAGTGGAGGAGGGAGAGGCAGGCTTCCCGCCGAGCGGGGAGCCCAATGTGGGGCTCAATCCTAGAACGCTGGGATCATGACCTGAGCCGAAGGCAGGCGCTTAACGACTGAGCCACCCAGGCGCCCCATGTGTGTGTGATCTTGAACAAGGTACCTAACCTCTCTGTGCCTCAGTTTCATCATCTGTAAAATGGAGATATTACTAGTACTTGCTATTAGGATTGTTATGATAATGTATATGTACTACATGCATATAATGCATATACTACATATATATTATGTGTATATATGTGCATAATTTACACACATATCTTAAAACAATTTCTGGAACATTATATTTTAACAAATTGATTTAGTATTAGCAGGGGACATATTCTACCATGTTTCTTAAAAATTTCTAGGCATAGAGAGAGAGAGAGTGTGTGTGTGTCTGAGGGAAAGAGGGAAAGGTGAAATAAACACACAGCTCGATAGCTCATACAGGGAATCCCAGCTACATTCCCTAGCTCTCTATGACCTGTGGAAGCACATTTCATTCATATTATTGGTTTTAATTATTACTAGCAGATGGCACAGACTCATTGTACTTTTAGTTCTAGTAGTAATAATAAAATGAAAGACAATGCATGTCACAGCTAGAAATTTCCACATACGATTTCCCAGGCATTCTAGGAAAACAAAATTTTCTTCTTCTCTGTGAGTTACTCAAACAACTGAGGTGCTATCTAAGATGTGCAGAGCAGATACAAACAAAGAAACGTGGGTTTAGGGGATAAGGCTGCTTGGCCATCTCTGACGTCTCAACAAGCGCCACGCAGGCCTGGGCCTCACGGACCTCATTCACTCCAAAGTCTGGGCCCCCAAGGAGGGTCAGGCTGGGTTCCCTGCACTCCAGGCAGCCTCCTCACACAGAATTAGCAGAAAACATACGAAACATGCTAGAAACAAAGTTGCCAAACAAGGTAAAAGGCTCAAAGTTTCAAAGTAAGAAATTCAGGGATTAGTTTAACATCAAAGAATGTTTTCTTTCCTGAAATGGGTCTTTCTTGAAGCAGGTGAAAAAGAAAGCATGGATAGACACCCCAGGACTCGTCGGGGTGCTACCCCTCCTGCTGTTTCATAGCCCAGAGCAGCTTTCTGAAGTCCCAAGCGGTCAGGCTCCGTCACTCAAGTGAAGAGATGGAAAAGAAACATGTGCTGGTATTACATCCCCACCATTTCAATTTTTTAAAAAAATATTTTATTTAAGAGAGAGCAAGCGAGTGAGCGAGCAGGGGTGGTGGGGGGGTGGGGAGTAGAGGAAGAAGAAGAGAATCTCCAGCAGACTCCATGCTGAACGCAGAGCCCAATGCGGGGCTCAATCCCACGACCCTGAGATCATGACCTGAGCTGAAACCAAGAGTCACACGCTTAACCGACTGAGCCACCCAGCTGCCCCATTTGATCCCACCATTTCCAATGGGGTCACCCCCAGCATGAAGAGATCATCCTGGATCCTAGACTTCTATGGGCATCTGTGTGAGGCACTAAAAGGTACCTACGCCTGCAGGCAGGGATTCCAGGGCTTCTAACTAATGGGACATAAGCTGTAGGCCTATCTTGTTAGGTAACCAGCAGCAGGCACTGGAAATAGGAAGCTGACATGTAACTTGATAATCCACCATGGCAAATCAAAACCAGCTGGTAAGACAGTATGACATAATGGTTAAGTTATGTACTCATTGAGAAACGAATTTCAGTTCAAAACTATGCTTGGTCACTTACCAGCTGAAAGGTAGGTAAAAGCTTTGGATAAGTGACAAACCCTACTAAGCCTCAAGCTTCTTATCTGTAAAACAGGTACATATCATTGAGTGGTTGTGAAGAGTGAATGAAGTTAATATTTGTAAAAGCACTTACTTTTGTGCCTGGCACATAGTAAGCAGCTCCTGGCCTAAGCATCTCTACTCCTAATTTATCTTTTTGACTGATTATCATAACGTTTATATTTGTTTTAAAAAACCAGAAAAACAGATTTATAAGTGCCCTAAATTAAAAACTCTTTATGATAGATTTGGAGATTATCTCTGTCAAGGAGACATAAGAATCACACTACTAATTTCTTTGTATGGGCACATGTATAGTTTTGGTTGGTTGGAAGACTCTATTTGCTTTTCCTTTAACTGAAAGTATTATCACCCTGAAACTTCTCTGCTTTCAAAACCTATCTTGTATAAATGAGCTTATCTCACTAAACAAAGTATTTTCTTTTCTCAATAGTTATCGAAAAGTTTCAACCAGTCCCTCACTGACACTGTGAGCTCCCAACTCCACCCAAACTGTCAAGAGATAAAAGCCTAGCTATGATCACGTGATTCTCCCAATGTGTCCATCAGCTGATACACCGATACACTTGTGGGTGACTTGGTCTCAGATTTTAAAGCAATCCCTTATAACACTTCTTGCAGGGTAATTGATAGATTACTATATCTTTCCATGCAGTCTCCAGATTGATTAAGCTGCAATTATATCAAATGCCTTTATTCTTTGTGGCTTTTTGCTGTTGCTTTAGTAACTGTGTAGTTATAATACATATAAACAGTTTTCATATATTATCTTATTTTATCCTCAGTACAACTTTACATCATATTCCGATTTTACACCTGAGAAAACTGAGGTTCAGTGGTGTGAAGTCATTTGCTCAAAATCACAAAGGTAGTAAGTGACAGGCTCAGGTCTTGGCTCCATCAAACATCAACTCCAAGGACCATGTTCGTAGAAACTGTTCTCTGTTGATCTTGTCCTCCTATTTTTTTCCTAATGCCTTATGAGCATCGCCTTATGAGGCGCATTCTTAAAACCTAATATAGTGGCAGGCCAAGCACATGTGATCATTTTATAAGCATGAGAAAGGATTCCTGAGACACAGCCAGGCCTGAAGTATTAAGACATAATAGGGTAGTGTTTGCAAGGTGAGTACCACACAGCTGTTCCCGGTCCTCGCTGGTTCAGAAAGACTGGCCAGGAGGTTGCACCCTTCCACAGCAAAGACCTTCCTCTTAGATGTGTTCTCGGAGTCCTCAATTCTTTTTTTTTTTTTTAATTTTATTATGTTATGTTAATCACCACACATTACATCATTAGTTTTTGATGTAGTGTTCCATGATTCATTGTTTGTGTATAACACCCAGGGCTCCATTCAATATGTGCCCTCTTTAATACCCATCACCAGGCTGAGTCGGCCCTGGACCCATCTAAGGGCCTGCATGTCAATGGATCTAGAATCCATCCATTTGTACAACCCTGTGATCAAGGCCTTCCTCAACTTCCCTTTTTGTAGGAAAATATTTCTATGATTTTATCGGCTGACAAAACTGTTACAAACTATGTTTAAAAGATGAAGTAGCCAGTAGTTATTTTCTTTAAAAGTATGAACTTTGAGCATATTTATTTTTATTCAAGATTTACCAGCTCATAAGTCTTTTATACAAGGATGCAAATTAAACTGCTTAGCAAAAGAGGGGGGAAAAAAACCCCCATTGTAGCACTGATGCTACTATGATTCCCTTTCCTTCTAAGTAGGCTCTTCAGTCCTGGCTCTGGGATAGCTTTGCTGCCCGCCCAGCCTCCCTCCTGCAGAGCTCATCCTTTTACCACTGTGCGGGCAGATACGTCTGCCACAGCCCCTGGTCTTCTCATGTCACACACGGCTGCAGACTTACTCATCCCTTACTGATTCAGCTCTGTACCCCGGTCCTTAGTTCAGTGTCAGGTCCAGAACAGGCACTAAATAAATGTGTGAGAAAGGAAAGGAGGGAGGAAGAGAAGACTAGAAAAAGGAAAAGGAGGAAGGCATCATACAGAAATGTACATTGAGCCTTTAATCGTCAAATGCCATGATGGACATGGCATTATTATTAAATTATACTCTGTATTTTTCACCTTGA